AAATGTGAATGACGAATATTACTTCAACGTTTAATTTCAAGTTTGACTGACACTGGGTAAGATGCTTGAGGTGTAATTACTGTTGTTGTTGTTTTCGACTGTGCCTAAATTTTATTCACTTTTTTGCGTATGTTTCGATTTTACATGATCAATAAAATTCAGACGTTTCATTCATCAAATTTGACTGAAAGTGGTTATGGTGCTTGAAGCTTATTTGGTTTGCTTGTATGCTTCGAGGCGCTTGACATTTATTAACATTATTTTTGGGTATGTTTCGAATGTTCATGACCAATATTTTTTCGACGTTTTTTTTCTCAAGTTTTACTACAATTGGTTGGGTAAGATGCTTCACTTTTATTTACTTTTTATGAGCATGTTTCAATTGTACATGACCAATAAATGTTCAACGTATCGTTCATCAAGTTTGACTGAAATTGGGTATGATTCTTAGGATTTATTTACTGTACTTGTATGTTTCGACTGTGCTTAAGATTTATTTACATTATTTTGGGTATAATTCAAATGTGAATGACGAATATTACTTCGACGTTTAATTTCAAGTTTAACTGACACTGGGTAAGATGCTTGAGGTTTAATTACTGTTCTTGTAGTTTTCGACTGTGCCTCAAATTTATTCACTTTTTTGCGTATGTTTCGATTTTACATGATCAATAAAATTCAGACATTTCATTCATCAAATTTGACTGAAAGTGGTTATGGTGCTTGAAGCTTATTTGGTTTGCTTGTATGCTTCGAGGCGCTTGACATTTATTTACATTATTTTTGGGTATGTTTCGAATGTTCATGACCAATATTTTTTCGACGTTTTTTTTCTCAAGTTTTACTACAATTGGTTGGGTAAGATGCTTCACTTTTATTTACTTTTTATGAGCATGTTTCGATTGTACATGACCAATAAATGTTCAACGTATCGTTCATCAAGTTTGACTGAAATTGGGTATGATTCTTAGGATTTATTTACTGTACTTGTATGTTTCGACTGTGCTTAAGATTTATTTACATTATTTTGGGTATAATTCAAATGTGAATGACGAATATTACTTCGACGTTTAATTTCAAGTTTAACTGACACTGGGTAAGATGCTTGAGGTGTAATTACTGTTCTTGTAGTTTTCGACTGTGCCTCAAATTTATTCACTTTTTTGCGTATGTTTCGATTTTACATGATCAATAAAATTCAGACGTTTCATTCATCAAATTTGACTGAAAGTGGTTATTGTGCTTGAGGCTTATTTAGTTTGCTTGTATGCTTCGAGGCGCTTGACATTTATTTACATTGTTTTTGGTTATGTTTCGAATGTTCATGACTAATATTTTTTCGACGTATTGTTCATCAAGTTTGGCTATATTTGGGCATGATGCTTTGAGGTGTATTTGCTGTTCTTGTACGTTTCGACTGTTGCACAGATATATTTACTTTTTTGGTTATGTTTCGATTCTACATGACCAATAAAACTTCGACGTATCATTCATCAAGTTGGACTGAAACTGAATATGATGCTTGAGGTGTGTTTACTGTGCTTGTAAGTTTCGACTGTGCTTGAGATTTTTTCCTTTTACTTTTTGGTATGTTTCCATTGTGAATGACCATTATTACTTCGCGTTTCATTTCTCAAGTTTGACTGTTATTGGGTATGATGCTGGAGGTGTATTTACCTTCCTTGTTTGATTCGACCAGGCTTCAGATCTGCTTACATTACTTTTGGGTATGCTTCAAATGTGAATGGCCAATATTACTTCGGTGTTTCTTTTCCCAAGTTCGACTACAATTGGTTGGGTAAGATGCTTCATTTTTATTTGCTTTTTATGAGCATGTTCCGATTGTACACGATCAATAAATGTTCAACGTAGCGTTCATCAAGTTTGACTAAAATTGGGTATTATACTTGAGATTTTTTTACTGTACTTGTATGTTTCGACTGTGCTTAAGATTTATTTACCTTATTTTGGGTATGTTTCAAATGTGAATGACCAATTTTACTTCAACGTTTCTTTTCTCAAGTTTGACTACAATTAGTTGGGTAAGATGCTTCGGGTGTATTTACTGTTCTTGTATGTTTCGACTGTGCTTCAGATCTATTTACATTGTTTTGGGTATGTTTCGAGTGTGAATGACCAATAAAATTTTGAGGTTTCATTTATCAAGTCTGACTGAAATTGGGTATGATACTTGAAGTTTATTTAGTGTACCTGTATGTTTCGATTGTGCTTGAATTTTTTTACATCACTTTTAGATTTGTTTCGATTTTGCATGACCAGAAATGTATTTACTGTGCTTGTAAGTTTTGACTGTGCTTGAGATTTAGTTACAAAATTTTTGGGTATGTTTTGAATGTGCATGACCAATAATACTTCGACCTATCATTCATCAGTTTGGCTGAAACTGGGTATGATGCTTGAGGTGTGTTTAATGTCATTGTATGTTTCGACTGTGCCTGAAATTTTCTAACCTTGGTTTTGATTATGTTTCGCATTTGCATGACCAATAATACTTCGACGTCACAATCATCAAGTTTGACTAAAATAAGTATGTTGCTTGAGGAGTATTCATTGTACTTGTATGTTTCGACTGTGCTTGACATTTTTATACGTTACCTTTGGGTATATTTCAAATCTGCTTGACAAACATTACTTCGACGTGTCATTCATTAATTTTGACTGAAATTATGTATGATGCTTGAAGTGTATTTTTTGTGCTGGTAGGTTTCGACTGTAGTTCAAATTATTTTAAATTAATTTTGCGTTTGTTGCAAAGGTGAATCACCAAAATTACTTCGACTTGTAAATCATCAAGTTTGACTGAAACTAGTATGATGCTTGAGGAGTATTCACTGTGATTGTATGTTTCGACTGTGCTTGAGATTTATTTACATTACTTTTGGGTTTGTTTTGATTGTGGATGACCATTATTTCTTCGACGTATCATTCATCAATTTTGACTGCGATTGGGAATGATGTTTGAGGTTGCTTGGATGTTTTGGTTTTGCCTCAGATTTTTTTCGTGTCTGTTTTGAAGGTGAATGACTTATCTTATTTCGACGTATCATTCATCAAATTTGACTGAAACTTGTATCATTTCTCGAGGATTAATTTTACCTTACTTTTGGGTATCTTTCGAATGTGCATGATCAATAATACTTTGACGTGTAATTCATCAAGTTTGACTGAAAGAAGTATGTTGCTTGAAGAGTATTCATTGTGCTTGTATGTTTCGACTGTGCTTGACCTTTTTATACCTTACCTTTGGGTATATTTCAAATGTGCATGACAAACATTACTTCAAAGCATCATTCAATAAATTTCACTCAAATTGGGTATGATACTTGAGGTGTTTTTACTGTGCTTGTATGTTTCGACAGTGCGTCAGATTTTTTTTATAGTTTTATGGGTATGTTTTGATTGTACATGACTAAAGAAACTTCGACGTATCATTCATCAATTTTGACTGAAATTGGGTATTATGCTTGAAATGTATTTACTGTGCTTGTATGTTTCGACTTTGCTCATATTTGTTTGTTTCTTATGGGTATAATTAGATTGTACATGACCAATAAAACTTAGAGGTATCTTTCCTCAAGTTTGACTGAAATTGGGTATGATGCTTGAGGTGATTTTACTGTGCTTGTATGTTTTGACTTTGCTTCAGATTTTTTATATTGTTATTGGTTTGTTTTGATTGTAAATGACCAAAGAAACTTCGAGGTATCATTCATCAATTTTGATTGAAATTGGTTATGATGCTTGAGGTGTATTTACTGTGCTTGTTTGTTTCGACTGTGCTTGATTTTATTTCAAATTAATTTTGGTATATTTTGAATGTGCATGACCAATTTTATTTCGACATATCATACATCAGGTTTGACTAAATTTTGGTATGATGCTTGAGATGTGTTTACTGCTCCTGTATCATCTATCCAGAGAAATGGAGAAAAAAATATCTTTGTGTATTCAGGTCTGCATTAAGCATACAAAAAATTAAACCTGCTTGCAAATTTTTTTAATATTCGTTTTAATACAAAACTTAGTTTGCCGCTCAAAACAAATAGATGATTAGCAATTTTTTTGACACAATTTTTTTTGTTTTGTACGATAAACTGACTTTAAGGCCAAAATTTAAAAAAAAAGTATTTTGAAAAATCGGTGACTTCTTTTTAGCAAAATGTATGAAAATTGTAGGACTAGTATTTTTTCATAGACTTAGTTGATGGAATTGTTTGATTGACTTTTTTGTTCTATGGAGGTCAACACGGGAAAGAAGAAAAAAATACTAGCAAAAAGACATCAGTAGTTTATGCGTTCTTTTCTGAGCAATTTATTTTAAACAGAGGAGTAGCAAAGAAATTTTCATTTTTTTTACTATTAAAATTGAGTTTAATGTCCACCTATAAGGCTGCTATACTGGTTATTAGACATTGGTTGAGCTTCAAGTTAGCAGCAAAATTTGTTAAACATAGGATAGTGTTTGACGGTGCCTAGTTAATGAGCTATCAACTTGAAAATTACAATAAGGTATGAATTGATACAGGGGTGATCTAGGATTGGCTGTAACCATGGTCGGAACCTTAACCCGGCTTTGTCAGCCTCATGACTGTTAAACGTTTCTGAAAAAAATCAAGCACAGAAAACAGTTTACTTTAACCGAGTGACTATTACTTGTTTTTATTATCGTTTTCTTGCAGAAAATGATCGAATTTTCTTAAATGATTATCAGAATAATTTGGTTTCAATCAGTTAGAGAAATATACAAAGCTACACATAAAATACACTACTTAGAAGATACTCGTTGGTGCTTCAGGTCCTTTTTCAGGATTTTATAAAATCAAAAATCGACTTGATTTAGAAGGAGCTCAGAACAAAAATGCAGGACACTGTCAAGACCTTCAGATTTTCCAAAACTTGCATCAGAGCTCTGAGCGAGCACTCTATATTCAACCGATCCTAGATATGCCATTTTGACGTGTAACGTTCAATACAGGATTACAGAATACACTAACACTAATCTATTTAAGTTTATCTTGATCAAACACCACACATTTGAAACAATGAAGCTTGCTTCGTTTTACATTTTTGTTCTTTTCGTAGCAACTCATTTTGCTACAGCCGACAAAATTCACAAAAAAGAATACCGAAAGTCATACCGAGAAGCACTGAAGCCATATCTTCTTAACAGATGGGATGACTCTAACTTCTTGGAAAACTTTTGGGGTAAACTGGAAACTGTGATCAAAGATGACGCTGTACTTGATGTTCTGCGTCAAATGGGATCGTTTTTTGAGAAGTTTGTCCGAACAACAAAGCAAAGTTCAGATCTTGCCGAAGTGAAATTCACGACGATTCCGGTCCTAACTGGTTTTCACGAAGGTTTGCAATTTTCCTAAAACTCTAGATGGTACTGTTCGTTATAACTGGTCAATATCTCTAAAACGATTGCACAGGCAGAAGTTTTCCTTTTAGCGGTGTCCCAATAAACTACAACAGAAAAATTAAAGAAGACCAGGGAAGAAATTCAAAAACATAAAAAAACCTAAAAATCTTTCAAAAACAAAAAATCTAATGACTTGAAAACTTAAAAAATCCTGCCGACCCAAAGGGTCCCCCTTTGTACTGTTTTGAGATATCCATTTTTGGTGACGGACCCTAAATTTTTTCTAAAGGCGCCTTGGGCGCCAATATACACTAATTTTGAGGGGGAGCGCGTGCCTGAAAAACGCGATTTTTTGGTCAACATTTTCTTTTTTTGGGCTGTTTTTTCAAAACTTTTCCTGCGTCGCAGAAATTTTGGCCGAAACAGGGTCTTTGTAGTGCTTTGGAAGAGCTCAAAACTTCAATTTGGTCGATCTATAAAAAAAGGTCGACAAAATGTTCGCACTTTTTTTGAAAATCCGCCCCCCTTCGAGAAAATCCAAGATCCGCCCCTGATTCTAACCGATTCTAAGTTTAAAAAATTTCATATAATACACAAACGGAAGAGTATAACGGAAGAGTGTCTTAAGGCACTCCAAATGCTGGAAAAGAGAGAAAGCAGCCACTGGAAGGGTTGAAGAAGGAGACTGGCAATGGGAGTGGTAGTGTCCCGGTGGTGTTGTGGCATGGCATGGGCGACTGTTGCTGCAACCCTCTGAGCATGGGATCCATCAAGAGGCAGATTGAGAGACAAGTGCCTGGCATTTATGTCCACTCTTTGATGGTAAATAGTAAAAAAAGATTTTGAATGAATTTTCTGAAAATAGAAAAAAAACAGGTTTTTTAAAACTATTTTTGACAAATTGCCATTTTTTGTTTTTCATCCTTCAAACTTATGTAAAAAGTATATCAGACGCAAAAAATTGCGTCTTTTTTTAATTTCGCATCATTTTCAAAGAAAGTTTTTGATTAGCTTGACTTTAAGAGTTCCAATAGCAGTGTAATTGATTAAAAACTCAAAAAAGTCCTCGTTTCTTTGTAGATTCTTGTAAGACTTGGCCAGCAAAAGTAAACAAAAGACTATATATTTTCAGATTGGCAATAACATAATCGAGGATACTTTGAATGGTTTCATTATGAACGTCAACGACCAAGTGACACAAGTGTGTGAAAAGATAAAGAACGACTCTAACTTGGCCAACGGGTACCATGCCATGGGGTTCAGTCAGGGGGGCCAGTTCCTGAGAGCAGTGGCCCAGAGGTGTCCCGATCCCCCCATCAAGAATCTGATCACCTTTGGCGGACAGCATCAAGGCGTTTTTGGGTAAATTGGGGCACTTCAGAACCAATTTATTATTAAACTCATTTAATTCGTTTAATATCCTGTCTTCCAATATATATTTATGGTACAAACATATCTGTTTTAGAAGGCTGTTTATTAAGACAAACTGCGCTCGTCATTAAGTACTGCCACTCACCGACAGACTTAGGGGAGGGGGTGGCTTTGGGGGATCGGATGCCCCTTCTACCAAGGATTCGACCACCTGCCGAACCAAAGGGTCCCCCTTTGTACTATTTTGACATATCCTTTTTTGGTTGACGGACCCCAAAATTTTCCAAAGGCGCCTTTGGTGCCTATATTTAATAATTTCAAGTGGGAAGCGCGCGCCAAAAAAAAAACGATTTTTTTGGTCAAAATTTTCCAAAAGTGCCTAAAAACGCATTCTTTTGGCCTGTTTTTTTTTCAAAATTTTGTCTGCGGCGGAGAAAAATTGGCCAAAACAGGTTCTTTTTAGTGCTTTGGGATCGCTCGGAAAATCGTCGACAACGTTTTTAAACATTTTTTAAAAATCCGACCACAATCCCCCCTTAAAATCCTAGTTCCTTGCCTCGTTTTCCAAGAAGTTCATTTTCCGAGTTTTTTAAAATTCAATTCAGATATCTGAACGGAGTTTTTACGTGATGCACAATTTGGCCAGGGTTATAGAAAAATCCGAAAAACTTGAAACCATACCCACACCCAAACTAGAGCCGTCGGAGCAATAATAATTTTGAGTTATAATTTAGGTCTGTTTTAATTTACTGACATTATCATTTTTCTTTTAAAATGATAATTCGGAAAACTCCAATTTAAGGATTAACATTAATTTTTGAAAAATCGAGCAAAATTACAAACTACTTTTAATAGCTAAAAGTTGCACAATGTCAGAGATTTTGAACAAAAGCAGTGAGAAAAAAACTTTAAATAGTTTGAATTTTACGAATAAAAAGACGAACATACGAAAATAACAATCGCAAGTTCAACTTAATCTTAAACAAGAAATATTTTCCTGGAAAGATTTTGAAACCCAAATGATTTATTTGTATTTTGAGATGTATTTACTGTGCTTGTATGTTTCGACTTTGCTCATATTTGTTTATTTCTTATGGGTATAATTAGATTGTACATGACCAATAAAACTTAGAGGTATCTTTCCTCAAGTTTGACTGAAATTGGGTATGATGCTTGAGGTGTTTTTACTGTGCTTGTATGTTTTGACTTTGCTTCAGATTTTTTATACTGTTATTGGTTTGTTTTGATTGTAAATGACCAAAGAAACTTCGAGGTATCATTCATCAATTTTGACTGAAATTGGTTATGATGCTTGAGGTGTATTTACTGTGCTTGTTTGTTTCGACTGTGCTTGATTTTATTTCACATTACTTTTGGTATATTTTGAATGTGCATGACCAATTTTATTTCGACATATCATACATCAGGTTTGACTAAATTTGGGTATGATGCTTGAGATGTGTTTACTGCTCCTGTATCATCTATCCAGAGAAATGGAGAAAAAAATATCTTTGTGTATTCAGGTCTGCATTAAGCATACAAAAAATTAAACCTGCTTGCGAATTTTTTTAATATTCGTTTTAATACAAAACTTAGTTTGCCGCTCAAAACAAATAGATGATTAGCAATTTTTTTGACACAATTTTTTTTGTTTTGTACGATAAACTGACTTTAAGGCCAAAATTTAAAAAAAAAGTATTTTGAAAAATCGGTGACTTCTTTTTAGCAAAATGTATGAAAATTGTAGGACTAGTATTTTTTCATAGACTTAGTTGATGGAATTGTTTGATTGACTTTTTTGTTCTATGGAGGTCAACACGGGAAAGAAGAAAAAAATACTAGCAAAAAGACATCAGTAGTTTATGCGTTCTTTTCTGAGCAATTTATTTTAAACAGAGGAGTAGCAAAGAAATTTTCATTTTTTTTACTATTCAAATTGAGTTTAATGTCCACCTATAAGGCTGCTATACTGGTTATTAGACATTGGTTGAGCTTCAAATTAGCAGCAAAATTTGTTAAACATAGGATAGTGTTTGACGGTGCCTAGTTAATGAGCTATCAACTTGAAAATTACAATAAGGTATGAATTGATACAGGGGCGATCTAGGATTGGCTGTAACCATGGTCGGAACCTTAACCCGGCTTTGTCAGCCTCATGACTGTTAAACGTTTCTGAAAAAAATCAAGCACGGAAAACAGTTTACTTTAACCGAGTGACTATTACTTGTTTTTATTATCGTTTTCTTGCAGAAAATGATCGAATTTTCTTAAATGATTATCAGAATAATTTGGTTTCAATCAGTTAGAGAAATATACAAAGCTACACATAAAATACACTACTTAGAAGATACTCGTTGGTGCTTCAGGTCCTTTTTCAGGATTTTATAAAATCAAAAATCGACTTGATTTAGAAGGAGCTCAGAACAAAAATGCAGGACACTGTCAAGACCTTCAGATTTTCCAAAACTTGCATCAGAGCTCTGAGCGAGCACTCTATATTCAACCGATCCTAGATATGCCATTTTGACGTGTAACGTTCAATACAGGATTACAGAATACACTAACACTAATCTATTTAAGTTTATCTTGATCAAACACCACACATTTGAAACAATGAAGCTTGCTTCGTTTTACATTTTTGTTCTTTTCGTAGCAACTCATTTTGCTACAGCCGACAAAATTCACAAAAAAGAATACCGAAAGTCATACCGAGAAGCACTGAAGCCATATCTTCTTAACAGATGGGATGACTCTAACTTCTTGGAAAACTTTTGGGGTAAACTGGAAACTGTGATCAAAGATGACGCTGTACTTGATGTTCTGCGTCAAATGGGATCGTTTTTTGAGAAGTTTGTCCGAACAACAAAGCAAAGTTCAGATCTTGCCGAAGTGAAATTCACGACGATTCCGGTCCTAACTGGTTTTCACGAAGGTTTGCAATTTTCCTAAAACTCTAGATGGTACTGTTCGTTATAACTGGTCAATATCTCTAAAACGATTGCACAGGCAAAAATTAAAGAAGACCAGGGAAGAAATTCAAAAACATAAAAAACCTAAAAATCTTTCAAAAACAAAAAATCTAATGACTTGAAAACTTAAAAAATCCTGCCGACCCAAAGGGTCCCCCTTTGTACTGTTTTGAGATATCCATTTTTGGTGACGGACCCTAAATTTTTTCTAAAGGCGCCTTGGGCGCCAATATACACTAATTTTGAGGGGGAGCGCGTGCCTGAAAAACGCGATTTTTTGGTCAACATTTTCTTTTTTTGGGCTGTTTTTTCAAAACTTTTCCTGCGTCGCAGAAATTTTGGCCGAAACAGGGTCTTTGTAGTGCTTTGGAAGAGCTCAAAACTTCAATTTGGTCGATCTATAAAAAAAGGTCGACAAAATGTTCGCACTTTTTTTGAAAATCCGCCCCCCTTCGAGAAAATCCAAGATCCGCCCCTGATTCTAACCGATTCTAAGTTTAAAAAATTTCATATAATACACAAACGGAAGAGTATAACGGAAGAGTGTCTTAAGGCACTCCAAATGCTGGAAAAGAGAGAAAGCAGCCACTGGAAGGGTTGAAGAAGGAGACTGGCAATGGGAGTGGTAGTGTCCCGGTGGTGTTGTGGCATGGCATGGGCGACTGTTGCTGCAACCCTCTGAGCATGGGATCCATCAAGAGGCAGATTGAGAGACAAGTGCCTGGCATTTATGTCCACTCTTTGATGGTAAATAGTAAAAAAAGATTTTGAATGAATTTTTTGAAAATAGAAAAAAAAAACAGGTTTTTAAAACTGTTTTTGACAAATTGCCATTTTTTGTTTTTCATCCTTCAAACTTATGTAAAAAGTATATCAGACGCAAAAAATTGCGTCTTTTTTTTGATTTCGCATCATTTTCAAAGAAAGTTTTTGATTAGCTTGACTTTAAGAGTTCCAATAGCAGTGTAATTGATTAAAAACTCAAAAAAGTCCCTCGTTTCTTTGTAGATTCTTGTAAGACCTTGGCCAGCAAAAGTAAACAAAAGACTATATATTTTCAGATTGGCAATAACATAATCGAGGATACTTTGAATGGTTTCATTATGAACGTCAACGACCAAGTGACACAAGTGTGTGAAAAGATAAAGAACGACTCTAACTTGGCCAACGGGTACCATGCATGGGGTTTAGTCAGGGGGGCCAGTTCCTGAGAGCAGTGGCCCAGAGGTGTCCCGATCCCCCCATCAAGAATCTGATCACCTTTGGCGGACAGCATCAAGGCGTTTTTTGGGTAAATTGGGCACTTCAGAACCAAATTATTATTAAACTCATTTAATTCGTTTAATATCTTCCAATATATATTTATGGTACAACCATATCTGTTTTAGAAGGCTGTTTATTAAGACAAACTGCGCTCGTCATTAAGTACTGCCACTCACCGACAAACTTAGGGGAGGGGGTGGCTTTGGGGGATCGGATGCCCCTTCTACCAAGGATTCGACCACCTGCCGAACCAAAGGGTCCCCCTTTGTACTATTTTGAGATATCCTTTTTTGGTTGACGGACCCCAAAATTTTCCAAAGGCGCCTTTGGTGCCTATATTTAATAATTTTAAGTGGGAAGCGCGCGCCAAAAAAAAACGATTTTTTTTGGTCAAAATTTTCCAAAAGTGCCTAAAAACGCATTCTTTTGGCCTGTTTTTTTTTTCAAAGTTTTGTCTGCGGCGCAGAAAAATTGGCCAAAACAGGTTCTTTTTAGTGCTTTGGGATCGCTCGGAAAATCGTCGACAAAATTTTTAAACATTTTTTAAGAATCCGCCCACAACCCCCCCTTAAAATCCTAGATCCGCCTCTGCTGCCACTAATCAAATTCTATGACAAATCAATAATGACAAATCAATACTGTAAAATCACAGTTATGGGTTTGGTGAAAGAGCTGATACATTAGTGGATGGTATAGAAAACAAAGATTAACCAATTTTTGACAAAATCAAACAGCAAAATGTTCAGTGTCTGAAGTTTCTAAATTGTTTCCTTATTTCCTCATTCTAGAAATATCTTAGAACGTTTTGTTACTCATGAAAGAAGAGCTTAATAGCCATAAATTAGATCTAGTATACATACTTTACAAGTTTAATATGATTTCGATATTTTTCCAGCCTCCCCAACTGTGACCCGGACAAGGAGGTGTGTGACATCCTGCGGGATGAAGTGACGGGACTCCTCTACTCCTCTCCAGTGCAGGACCACATTGTCCAGGCAGAGTACTGGCACGACCCCAGAAACCCACGACAGTAAGCAAGGGTTTCATACATTTCAAAACGGATAGAGCGACTAAACAGTGGCGAGCGCATGATTTTTTTTTTGAGTGGGGAGGCGGTTTCGATTTCATACAAAGAAAACAGTTCCATATTGCCTCGTTGTCCAAGAAGTTCATTTTCCGAGTTTTTTAAAATTCAAATCAGAAATCTGAACGGAGTTTTTACGTGATGCACAATTTGGCCATGGTTATAGAAAAATCCGAAAAACTTAAAACCATGCCCACACCCAAACTAGAGCCGTCGGAGCAAAAATAATTTTGAGTTGTAATTTACGTCTGTTTTAATTTACTGACATTATCTTTTTTCTTTTAAAATGATAGTCCGGAAAACTCCAATTTAAGGATTAACTTTCATTTTTGAAAAATCGAGCAAAATTACAAACTACTCTTAATAACTAAAAGTTGCACAATGTCCGAGATTTTGAACAAAAGCAGTGATAACAAAACTTTAAATAGTTTGAATTTTACGAATAAAAAGACGAACATACGAAAATAACAATCGCAAGTTCAACTTAATCTTAAACAAGAAATATTTCCTAGAAAAACATTGAAACCCAAATGATTTATTTGTATTTTGAGAGCAAAAATTAGGGGAAATGTTTTGGTTCTTTTTTTTCTCTCTTTTATTACAGCTACCAGAATGCGAGTGTGTTCATTGCGGAAATCAACAATGAGAACAGGGTGAATTCAGAGTATAAGAAGAACCTTCTGCAAGTGTCCAACTTCGTGATGGTGCAATTTACAGAAGACACTGAAGTAGTGCCACGGGAGAGCGAGTGGTTCGGCTTCTACCAGGATGGTAAGAAATAAACTTTCAGACCTTTTCAGACTTTTCTCTAAATCAATGAAGCTGAATTACCGAGGTCCGTACAAGCTATAATAAACTTCAAAAAAAAAACTATAAATTACCGCTTTATTGTTGAAAAAATTGTGTCGAAGGCTAGTTATGGGAAAAAAAGTGCCAAAATTTCAGTTTTCAAGCAGTGTTTTGGAGAAAAATTGGCAAACATTTTAGTTAGAGTTTATTACTAATTATTTATTAGCGTTTATTAGAGCCACGGGTTTAGCCAGGTAAAACAGATCGTGAAATAGCACCAACTGGGGTCATTGCGTTCCCTAGTATCGACACGCTTATGAGAACGACGTTGTCGCGCTTTTCTTTCTGCGTGGAAAGAAAACACAACTGAATCAAATTTTTCTTCACACGAGTTGGGCTGAGACATCGTTTTTTTCAATTGAATAATAATGTTTTTTACTTACAGTTAAAAATATCATTTTGTTATTGAAAAAGATAGATGAAAGGCAAAGTTCATGCCCAATAGGTTACCTTAAAAATTAGAAACAGTCGCGCTCCCATAGTAAAATGTTTATCTCAAAAGTTGTTAAGTTGATAGAAAAATTATCTTTGAAAGTTCTTTTTTTTGCCAATTATAGTATTGAGGGGTAAAATCAATGAAGCTGTAATCACTCTACTGTTCTGATCATAAATAACATGTTGATTATGTAACCTTTATATTCGACAGGTCAGACGAAGACAGTGGTTGCCCTTGAGAACACAACTCTGTACTCTGAAGACAGACTGGGACTGAAACAGATGGACGAAGAGGGCAGACTGATCAGGTACCCGATCAAGGGCAACCACCTCCAGATAGACAGAGAAGACCTAGATGACATCATTGACAAGTACATCAAATGAAGGAGTAGAGAGAACGGTCCATTTTCATAGATTAAATTTATGTACGCGGGATTCTCAATTGAAAAAATCTGTTTTTTCATTATTAACCTATTATAAAGAATAGTCTTAAATGTTATTTAGAAGGAATAAAATACTAAACTTTGTCAGTTTTGTTGTTCTCAGAATGTTATTTAGATGAGCGTGGGATAAAAAATGAATGTACGATCAAACTCATAACTATTTACCGGTAACGTTATTTCTTATTAGAAGTGAACTTTTACGAATGTGATTTTTCAACATCCTATCATATTCAGAATCCTATTAATTTGGCTTTTTTATCTGCAAGCAATGCTGCGAAGGAGTTTCGAAAAATTTTGGCTACATAAGAGCCGCCTTCCAGTAGTGGATCCGACGCGCTGCGCAAACACACAAACAGCACAAATCGCTCCCTAAACAACACGAATGCTCGGTCTGGGTTTTTAGTTACGAGCTTCCAAAGCCGGCGGGGTTGCTCCGTTAGATAATCCTAACACTTCTCCCTCGCCCGGCTGAAACCGCAACCCCGGACATGACGCTGCTAAGAGTGTAATATCAAAAACCTCCATTCCCAAGCAAGCGTGCGGTACCATGTTTGTGGATAGACTCATTTTAATTGCAGTGACGTAACAACACTGAAACAACACCACAAAAACTTTTACTGTGCACAACAAGCTCTACTTTGCCACTTCCAGTAGCTGAGAGAATAGTTTCTGCAACTATTCCCCGACCAACCTCTATCCCTTCTTCAAATATAAGCCCATCAGCAACTATCCTTCCTTGATTTTCAACTCCGATACAGTTTAAACACCTGCGGCAACCCCCCCCCCCCCCCAAGTTAGCAAAAAAATCTACTCTCCTCGTCAACTAGTCGCTGAATATTCTGCAGTTAATATCTCTGGGAAAGCAACGGAAATGCCAATTTTGCTGTGCGAGTACCACATCCACATTAAGATTTGTACATGAAACCAAATTGTACTACAAAAACACACTCCTTTGATAGGGACAAAATACACATTACTTGGAAACGACCGACCGCGAGAAGAAGGGACATTCTTACTTCAACTCATTTTTTTTTCTTCTCTATGAAGAACAGGAAATAGTGGATGACAAAAAAGCGCTGAGCCAAAGACCAACAATCATTATCACAAATTACTACATCCTTCTCCACAGTAGTTGAACAAAAGACAGGAAATATTAGTTTTTACTATTCTCCTTCTAAAATTACAAACACTTACAAAACAATTTTCCATTAAAAAAAACTAACTTTCCATTAAGCAGGCAAATGCAGACGCAACTCTATGAAAACACTTGGAATCAAGACACCGATGTCTCCCTCTTTAAGCAATCTTGTTCCAAATAATCGTTTCCAAATGAGAGTTCGGTTACAGTTTGGTTAAATGAGAGAAGTCAAAGGTGGCACCCCTCCAAAAACTTTAAGCACACACCTCCACAAAGCCAAACATCAGTTTGGTTTTTACCCGAAGCACCCAGCCACTTCGGCACGTCCTCAAATTTGGTTATTTACGATGAAAGCCACCCACTAGGATCAATTTGGCCACGATAGAATTATTTTGAGTTTTCGACATGGTCTGCTGTTGGGCACTTTTGGTTCTTTCCATGGCACACCAAGCCGGGTAGCTTAACCAGATGGTTATCAAGTTATCTGATTGGTAGCCATTCGAGAAAATTTCAGAGATACTCTTTCAAAATAATACGCACGGGTCGCCAGTCGAGAACATTTTTAGAGATGCTCTCTCAAAATCTAGAAAAACAAACTTCTCAAATGAGTGTCAGTTATAGCCACTTTTTGAACACCCATCTAAGCAGCATCCTTGCTGTATTTCCCTGATTGTTGAGATAAAAGATTTGAAAAATTTGCAAAGAAAGGAAAACTTTGTTGTAATAAATTTATGGAGCAGTTATTGTTCCGACCATTTGAAAATGGGGAGAAGTTTTGTATTCGGGTGTATTTAATTTTTTTTTTTTGATTTCCACGCAAAATCAGCAAAATCAGAAGTTTTGTATTCGGGTGTATTTAATTTTTTTTCTTTTTGTTTTCCACGCAAAATGCAGAAACCCCCCCCCCCCCCCCCAAGTTAGCAAAAAAATCTACTCTCCTCGTCAACTAGTCGCTGAATATTCTGCAGTTAATATCTCTGGGAAAGCAACGGAAATGCCAATTTTGCTGTGCGAGTACCACATCCACATTAAGATTTGTACATGAAACCAAATTGTACTACAAAAACACACTCCTTTGATAGGGACAAAATACACATTACTTGGAAACGACCGACCGCGAGAAGAAGGGACATTCTTACTTCAACTCATTTTTTTTTCTTCTCTATGAAGAACAGGAAATAGTGGATGACAAAAAAGCGCTGAGCCAAAGACCAACAATCATTATCACAAATTACTACATCCTTCTCCACAGTAGTTGAACAAAAGACAGGAAATATTAGTTTTTACTATTCTCCTTCTAAAATTACAAACACTTACAAAACAATTTTCCATTAAAAAAAACTAACTTTCCATTAAGCAGGCAAATGCAGACGCAACTCTATGAAAACACTTGGAATCAAGACACCGATGTCTCCCTCTTTAAGCAATCTTGTTCCAAATAATCGTTTCCAAATGAGAGTTCGGTTACAGTTTGGTTAAATGAGAGAAGTCAAAGGTGGCACCCCTCCAAAAACTTTAAGCACACACCTCCACAAAGCCAAACATCAGTTTGGTTTTTACCCGAAGCACCCAGCCACTTCGGCACGTCCTCAAATTTGGTTATTTACGATGAAAGCCACCCACTAGGATCAATTTGGCCACGATAGAATTATTTTGAGTTTTCAACATGGTCTGCTGTTGGGCACTTTTGGTTCTTTCCATGGCACACCAAGCCGGGTAGCTTAACCAGATGGTTATCAAGTTATCTGATTGGTAGCCATTCGAGAAAATTTCAGAGATGCTCTTTCAAAATAATACGCACAGGTCGCCAGTCGAGAACATTTTTAGAGATGCTCTCTCAAAATCTAGAAAAACAAACTTCTCAAATGAGTGTCAGTTATAGCCACTTTTTGAACACCATCTAAGCAGCATCCTTGCTGTATTTCCCTGATTGTTGAGATAAAATATTTGAAAAATTTGCAAAGAAAGGAAAACTTTGTTGTAATAAATTTATGGAGCAGTTATTGTTCCGACCATTTGAAAATGAGGAGAAGTTTTGTATTCGGGTGTATTTAATTTTTTTTTTTGATTTCCACGCAAAATCAGCAAAATCAGAAGTTTTGTATTCGGTTGTATTTAATTTTTTTTTCTTTTTGTTTTCCACGCAAAATGCAGAAACCCCCCCCCCCCCCCCAAAGTTAGCAAAAAAATCTACTCTCCTCGTCAACTAGTCGCTGAATATTCTGCAGTTAATATCTCTGGGAAAGCAACGGAAATGCCAATTTTGCTGTGCGAGTACCACATCCACATTAAGATTTGTACATGAAACCAAATTGTACTACAAAAACACACTACTTTGATAGGGACAAAATACACATTACTTGGAAACGACCGACCGCGAGAAGAAGGGACATTCTTACTTCAACTCATTTTTTTTTCTTCTCTATGAAGAACAGGAAATAGTGGATGACAAAAAAGCGCTGAGCCAAAGACCAACAATCATTATCACAAATTACTACATCCTTCTCCACAGTAGTTGAACAAAAGACAGGAAATATTAGTTTTTACTATTCTCTTTTTAAAATTACAAACACTTACAAAACAAATTTCCATTAAAAAACTCTAACTTTCCGTTAAGCAGGCAAATTCAGATGCAACTCTATGAAAACACTTGGAATCAAGACACCGATGTCTCCCTCTTTAAGCAATCTTGTTCCAAATAATCGTTTCCAAATGAGAGTTCAATTACAGTTCGGTTACATGAGAGAAGTCAAAGGTGGCACTCCTCCAAAAACTTTAAGCACACACCTCCATAAAGCCAAACATCAATTTGGTTTTTGCCCGAAGCACCCAGCCACTTCGGCACGTCCTCAAATTTGGTTATTTACGATGAAAGCCACCCACTAGGATCGCTTTGGCCACGATAGGATTATTTTGAGTTTTCGACATGGTCTGCTGTTGGGCACTTTTGGTTCTTTCCATGGCACATCAAGCCGGGTAGCTTAACCAGATGGTTATCAAGTTATCTGATTGGTAGCCAATCGAGAAAATTTCAGAGATGCTCTTTCAAAATAATACGCACAGGTCGCCAGTCGAGAACATTTTTAGAGATGCTCTCTCAAAATCTAGAAAAACAAACTTCTCAAATGAGTGTCAGTTATAGCCACTTTTTGAACACCCATCTAAGCAGCATCCTTGCTGTATTTCCCTGATTGTTGAGATAAAAGATTTGAAAAATTTGCAAAAAAAAAAAGAAAAATTTTGTTGTAATAAATTTATGGAGTAGTTATTGTTCCGACCATTTGAAAATGGGGAGAAGTTTTGTATTCGGGTGTATTTAATTTTTTTTCTTTTTGTTTTTCACGCATAATCAGGTTAGAATTAAATATCGGATTGGCTTGAGTGATTTATCATTTTGAAGCCCTTTCAATTGTATTTTTAACGACTTTCGAAAACTCCAATTTTTGTTTTTCACAATGTCGAGAAAAACCGGTTTGAAATTTTTGATTTTTGGTATTTTTTCGAACAGATGTGTTGTGAGCGTTTAAGACTTACAATAGATTATTTAACCCTATTTTAAGCCGTAAAAACTTAGTTGCACTCAAACAAAAATGGTTTTTGGAGGTTTCCAGCGTCACTATGAAAACAAATGTTAAAATACTAAACTTTTCTGCAGAAAAGTTCGAAAGAAGGCTTAAAAGTTTTTAAAAATTGTTTCACAATTTTTTTTAGTTTTTCAAGTCAGTTTTCTTCCATAACTGTTTTCTGAATGGCTTTTTCACTATGACTAAAAAACAAGCCAAAGTGGTTTTTGAATTTTGGATATTTTTATCACACCAGGTGAAAAAAAAACGACATTCTTTTTTTTTTTTTCTAAGACTGTGGTCGGAACATTTTGTGTTACTTGCTCAGTAACCGGCTTTCCTTGTTGAAAACTGAAAAATTTTGGATTCCTTATTCTTCTTCGA